TTTATAGGATAGGGTGACAAACGAGCACACAGTCCACCTGATGGTAAGTGGTGCTGTGGCCCATGGACATCTACATCTATCCTCGATTACGAATCAAAGTGCAGATGCGTTGTCACCCGTGAAGGCTAAGATGGAATGCCTCGTTTCCAGTAAAAAGGGTCTCCGGTTTTCTACATTCACCATACGAAACACGGCAGCATTAAGTTACTATTTCATGCTGGCATTCTGTGAGTGCGTGGTCCTTCCCCGGTCGAGCCGACCCATTCGTGCTACAACTATAATATAGCTGCAGTATGGCTCTACCACGTAAAAACTTCATCATCGTCGAATCACCTATAACGCTGTGACGAAAATGCGGTAAAAAATGAGTCTTTTGTAATGATGAAAAGCCACGTAGAGACGGCTTAAGGTCATTTTATACTACTCCGTGTCACTGGTCTGGGTATTTTGGTTATGCTGTAATTTATCGGAAACCAACGGTCTTTGTAGGATTCTTATTTCTTCATGCATCGCTTCTTACGCACCCACGGACTGAATGGGATGACGGATTCCATGCCACCACCATGCCTTTATACCACTTTCTTTATAAATTATAAGGAACATATAAAATAAAGATACAGTCTTATGTAGGAGTAAAGCTCATTTTTGAGAAGGCACTAATCACTGCTCCAGTGCTTGTTTTTTTTGTAGGAGAGCATGCGGTTCACTTGATGGTAAGTGATTACCGCCACCCATAAACAACTGCAACACCAGGGGAATTATAGATGCATTGCCAGCCTTTTAAAAAGGAGTAGGCTATTTTCTTGAAGGTCCCTAAGTCGTATAGGTCCGGAAAAATCTCTGGCGGTAGTCGATTCCATAAGGAAGTTGTGTGGGTAATAAAACTTTTTTTTAAATCGCACAGTGATGAGTCATCCAGATAGTATGGATGTTATCGTGAGTTTTGTCGCGATGTGTGAAGGTGAAATTGTGGGGCTGGAAGAAGTCCGAACAATTCCTCATAACATTCTCCGTGGTAAATGCGATGAAATACGCAAAGATATGCAACATCTCTTCGCAGTGCCAGTGAGTCAAGCCGATCGGAAAGAGCTACACCTTAAAATATTTTATTTCTCAGACATGCAGATTTTCTTCCGAGTACGTGATAAAGTAACACTTAAAACAATTTTATTTGTGCCAGCACAGATTAAGCCAGCGTTGCTCGCGTACCGTTTAACTCACAGCGAGCTCTTAACTCCCGAGCTACCACTGTATAACGAATATTTTACGGTCTTAACATATTAATTTTAACCACCTTTATGTTAAAAAATCGCGTATGTTAACCGAAATTTTGTTGGCAAACATTTTTTCGATTTTTATTTTGTTTGCTTTACTAACAAATTTTACCTTTACATTAATATTACACAAAATTTATTACTACATACCCTATACCAACATATTTAAAGAGGTTAGCAAACCGTTTTTACTAAAAACAAGCAAATCATTAACAGTTTTTTACATAAGCAGATTTTAAGACTTTTTGCTTTTCCACTGAAGTTAGGCTTTGAAATTTACTGGGAACTTGCTGCCGTATGATTGTTAAAATAATACTTTAAATTGGTTTTTTGATATGTAAAAGTGGTTCGACTTTGTATATTTATATGTCTATACATGTGAACTTCCGGTGTAAGCGATAAAACAGATGCCTGATAGATTCCCGATTATTCTTTCTTTTTTTTCCGATAGTGATATTAACCTCAAGTTATACATCATCGACTGTTTAATGGCACAAGCTGCCGTCAAAATCTCCCAAAAACTTTGCAAAGTAACGTATAAATATATGTAAAGAAGTTTTTGAAACAAATTTTTATAAACGATATTTTCATAATACTTGTCAATATATAACACAGATATATATTGACAAGTATTATATATAATACATATTATATATAATGTACAATTACTGTTACAGTACAACGGCAAATGTATATTACCAAAGAATAAATACATATATTGTGTATATATTATTACCAGCTTAGGGTTCGTGACAATAAAAACTGCCGATTGAATTAACAAAATTGACACTTTACCGACACCAATTAAAACTTAAAACACACTAATAATCAATCACACTTATCACTTTAGTTCACATACATATACATACATAAACACTCACGCCTGTCACCCAGAGGGGTAGGCAGAGACTACAGACTTCCATTTGGCACGATCCTGACACACCTCTCTCGCCTCCTTCACATCCATACACCTACGCATACATGCTCGTCGGTTAAGGGTACTCCTAATTTGGCCCGTTTTCAATAAATCGCCAATTTGGTCGATAAATTTTCGCCTAGGACGTCTTTTTCCGACTCTGCCATTCACTTCTGCAACATAAATTTTCTTTGTCACTCTTTCCTCATTTATTCTTTCCACATGACCAAACCACCGAAGCATTCCTTTCTTAATCCTGGTCACAACATCATCTTGCAAACCACACTCTTCTCTAATTACACTTTAGTTCACCATATTTAATAATAATAAATATATAATTACTATTATTATGTGTGGGGTATCTATATAGTTTTCTCATCTGGTTGGGATGTATAAATATATAATTATAAACGAAAATGAAAAGATAAATATACATAAATATCAATAAAATAAAATAAATACGAAAATACATAAATAAATAAAAGCCCAACCAGATGGAAGCCCTCGGCAGGGGAGACCAAACGGCCGAGGATTAGGGGGAAAGGGAAAGAAACCGGCGGACGATGCGGGCGGTATCGAGGAGCACCGCCTTCTGCATTTGAGCCTGGAGCGGTCCGCCACGTAGTCCCAGCCGCCTCAGATGACCCGAGAGGCTGACTGGGATTAGCCCGTTTGCAGAGACGACTACAGGAATAATTTCGGTCGGCAGACCACCCCACATGTCGGTCACCTCGTGAGCCAGGTCCAGATATTTTGTTTGCTTATCTGTTTCGGCTTTCACGAGGTTCTCGTTACACGGAATGGTAATGTCGACCAAAAATATCCTTGACTGTGCCCGGTCCATCAGCACAATATCAGGCTTATTCGCAAGAATAGTCCTGTCTGTGATGATGGCCCGGTCCCAATAGAGCCTGGCGCGATCATTTTCGAGCACGGCTTCCGGCAAGTACTTGTAATACGGCAACTTCCGATCCACGAAACCGTATTTCAGAGCGAGCTCCTGGTGTAGAATTCTGGCTACTAGGTTGTGCCTGTGCAAGTACTCAGAGTTAGAAAGCGCCGAACAACAGGAGATGACATGCCTAAGTGACTCACCGGGATGGCGACAAGCTCGACAGATGTCGATGGTGCCATCCTTTAGGATGTATCTCCGATAGTTTTTGGTCTTAATAACCTGATCATGTATTGCACAGACAAAACCCTCGGTTTCCCCGAAGAGGTCACCAAAGCGTAGCCAGTGGAGAGAGGTTACTGTGTCTACGAAAGGCCCATGTAGAGACTTGTAGAACCTCCCGTGGAGCTCCTTCTCCTTCCATACGGTCTCCCGGTCGGAAATTGTCTGCACTGCCGGGTCTTGCCATTGCTCGTTGGCTAAGGATAGAGGGGTAAGTCCTTTATCACAAGAAATGACGTCCTTATAGAATGGATCATCCGATCTCGCCAGGAAGTAATTACGGAGGCTGCACACTTCGCGATTATGCATGGTGAGCGCGCTCAAGAAGCCACGCCCACCATGCTTTCGCGGCAAGTACAGCCTCATTACCGACGATCTCGGATGATGCATCCTGTGGGACGTCATGGTAGTGCGGACTTTTCTATCCAGGGCGTTAAGTTCAGTCTGAGTCCACCTGAGTATGCCAAAGGTATACATGAGGACAGGCATGACCCAGCCGTTATATGCTTGTGTCTTATTCACACCGGACAAAAGGCTGTTAAGCACTTTGGTCAAGCGTGCATAAAACACGTCGCAAACTGACTGTTTCATACCAGCCTCATCGATACCAATGTTCTGTGACATACCCAGGTATCGGTATGTTTCAGCCTCGGAAAGGGTCCTTAAGTTGACGGGCATAGATAAGTCTATGTCCTCAGAGTTAGCAACCCTACCCCTCTCAACATGGAGGACCGCACACTTATCCGTCCCCAGCTCCATTCCAATGGAATTGCTAAATTCACAAGTGATGATTGGCAATTCCATAAGATGGGAGCGACTGGAGGCGAATAACTTGAGGTCATCCATATAGAAAAAGGTGGGTCACTTTTGTCCCTCCTTTCCGTAGCTGAAATCCCCTCCCGGAGCCCTCCAGTAAGGTACTGAGAGGGTTCAGAGAGAGGCAGAACCATATTGGACTCAGACAATCGCCCTGGAAGATACCCCTTCTTATCCTTATGTGGTTCTCCGCAGCCATCATCCGCTCGCCCAGATGACAAAGGATCGTACTCACTGCCCCATACATTGCTCGTGGAAGTCTCTAACTGTACAGTCTATCTTGTACAGTTCGAGGACTCTCTTTAGCCATGTATGGGGCACCGAGTCGAATGCCTTTCTGTAGTCTATCCAGGCGGCGGAGAAGTTCCGACGGTTGCGTTTCACCACTTTGCCAATGACCGCGTCAATGAGGAGTGGTTCCTTGGTTCCATGACCGCCGCCCCGACATCCATTTTGAGCGCGCGACATCACCTGATTTGAGTCTAGGTGACGAGTGATTCTTGCGCTCAAAATGGATGTTAGTGTCTTGTATATGGTCGGCAGACATGTGATGGGGCGGTATTTGCTCGGGTCTGTGGTACCCTGGCCTTTAGGAACCAAATGGGTGATCCCAGTAGTGAAGAGGCTCGGGAGCGACTTCTGGTTGAGAACCTCTTGAAACTGTCGAGCGAGCACAGCATGACACACCATGATACCCCTTCATCCAGTAGTGATGCAGCCTGTCAAGCCCCGGACATTTCCAGTTCGGGGCCCTACAGACCGCCTCAGCTACGTAATCCGGCGTTATGATGACGGAGACCATGGGCGTAATACCCGCACGCTAACTCGCCACAACTTCCGTCCAAGGGCCCTCGTTGTGGTTTACGGGCTCTGACCACAGGCTGCGCCAGAATGCAACCGTGTCGGCCTGATTCGGTACTGTGCCCGTTTCACTTACCATTGGTCGCTCCAATGATTTATAGAGCCTCTTCTGATCACTCTGGAAGAGACGATTCTGGTTGAACCGTGTCGACCTCTCGGTATATCGCCGAATTCGCTTTCCCCAAGCAGCGATTCTCTGCTTCAGGTCGTCTATGCGCTCCGTCAGTTTTTGCATTATATCCGGCTGGGACAAACTAACATTTGTCCCAGCAAACGCCATCCTGACGGTGCGCACAATCCTTGGCCTGGTATTGCCTGACCTGAAGCATATCAGTCTGCCGTTGAGGGCCCTAGCCTTTGCGATACGTTCTTCAATTCTTGTTCTCCAGGCTGGGATAGCACTACTTTGTCCAGTAGTGCGTCCAGCCGTCGAAAGTTTGGCGCCTATAATACGGCAGACTGCCAGTGCGGTGCCAAAGAGAATTGAGTCCGTCTCGCAAAGGTCCCAGCTGGCTTCCAAATAGGTCACCAGCATTGGGTTCAGAGCCCTCACGACAGCCCGATTCTGCTTGCTTAGGGCTATGCGGGGAAGTCTCGGTCGATTTTCGAGAGGCGTACTGCGCGTTTCCATAATCGCCTCTTCCAATGTACTCCTCATTTGCTCTATTTCTAGTTCCTGGGTGAATGTTCCATCATCATTTGAATCAGCAACCACTGGGGTATTCTCGGCGGCATCCACGTGTGCGGGTTGTTCTGCAACTTGTGGCACCGCACCCCCAGTCATAGCGTTTTCATTTGATGAGGGAACAACCTCACGTCGTAGCCGTTCGAGTTCGGCGCCATCAAATATATTTGAGCGTAAGATATACCGAACTCGGTCTGCCAGGTTTTGCTCGGTGACAGTAATAGATGGCTCCAGCTCAGTAAAAAGACGATGCATCCTAGCCCGATACGCGAAACCTCCAATTTCTCCCCCCTTTCGCCCTAAAATACGCCCGCAATGCGTTTGAATTCATATTGATGGTCCATCGCATGCGGCGTACTCCACAGGTGGCGGGTGCCGATTGCTGGGTCTGCGAAGACCCTGCCGACACTAAGCAAGCTGGTGGGGATGATGGATGCGAGGGGCTGCTGGATGGTCGTGCAGCACCTCGCGCTCGGCTGGCGGTTCACCTGGACTAGAATCAGGTGATGTTGCGCACTCAAAATGGATGTCGGGGCGGCGGTCGTGGAACCAAGGAACCACTCCTCATTGACGCGGTCATTGGCAAAGTGGTGAAACGCAACCGTCGGAACTTCTCCGCTGCCTGGATAGATTACAGAAAGGCATTTGACTCGGTGCCCCATACATGGCTAAAGAGGGTCCTCGAGCTGTACAAGATTGACTGTACAGTTTGAGACTTCCTCGAACAGTGTATGGGGCAGTGGAGTACGATCCTCTGTCATATAGGCGAGCAGATGACGGCTGCGGAAAGCCGCATAAGGATAAGAAGGTGTATATTCCAGGGCGACTGTCTGAGTCCAATCTGGTTCTGCCTCTCTTTGAACCCTCTCAGTACTTTACTTGTAGGCTCCGGGAGGGGATTTCAGCTTCGGAAAGGAGGTACAAAAGTGACCCACCTTTTCTATATGGATGACCTCAAATTATTCGCTTCCAGTCGCTCCCATCTTATGGAATTGCTAAACATCACTTGTGAATTTAGCAGTTCTATTAGAATGGAGCTGGGGACAGATAAGTGTGCGGTCCTCCATGTTGGAAGGTGAAGGGTTGCTAATTCTGAGGGCACAGACTTATCTATGCCCGTCAACTTAAGGACCCTTTCCGAGGCTGAAACATACCGATACCTGGGTATGTCACAGAACATCGGTATCGATGAGGCTGGTATGAAACAGTCAGTTTGCGACGTGTTTTATGCACGCTTGACCAAAGTGCTTAACAGCCTTTTGTCCGGTGTGAATAAGATACACGCATATAACGGCTGGGTCATGCCTGTCCTCATGTATACCTTTGGCATACTCAGGTGGAGTCAGACTGAACTAAACGCCCTGGATAGAAAAGTCCGCACTACAGTGACGTCCCATAGGATGCATCATCTGAGATCGTCGGTAATGAGGCTGTACTTGCCGCGAAATCATGGTGGGCGTGGCTTCTTGAGCGCGCTCACCATGCATAATCGCGAAGTGTGCAGCCTCCATGATTACTTCCTGGCGAGATCGGATGATCCATCCTATAACGACGTCATTTCTAGTGATAAAAGACTTACCCCTCTATCCTTAGTCAACGCGCAGTGGCAGGACCCAGCAGTACAGAGCATTTCCGACCGGGAGGCCGTATGAAAGGAGAAGGAGCTCCACGGGAGGTGTACCAGGGCTCTACATGAGCCCCACGTAGATACAGCCGCCTCTCTCAACTGGCTACGTTTCTGTGACCCCTTCGGGGAAACCAAGGGTTTTGTCTGTGCAATACAGGATCAGGTTATTAAGGCCAACAACTATCGGCGATACATCCTAAAGGATGGCACTGTTGACGTCTGTCGAGCTTGTCGCCACGGAACCCCGGTAGCGAAGTCACTTAGGCATGTCATCTCCGGTTTTTCGGCGCTTTCTAACTCTGAGTACTTGCACAGGCACAACCTAGTAGCCAGAATTCTACACCAGGAGCTCGCTCTGAAATACGGTCTCGTGGAGTGAAAATTGCCGTATTACAAGTACTTGCCGGAAGCCGTGCCCGAAAATGACCGCGCCAGGCTCTACTGGGACCGGGCCGTCATCACGGACAGGACTATTCTTGCGAATAATCCTGATATTGTGCATGGACCGGGCACAGTCAAGGATATTTTTAGTCGATATTACCATTCCGTATAACGAGAACCTCGTGAAAGCTGAAACAGATAAACGAACAAAATATCTGGACCTGGCTAACGAAGTGACCGACATGTGGGGTGGTATGCCGGCCGAAATTATTCCTGTAGTCGTCTCTGCGAATGGGCTAATCTCAGTCAGCTTCTCGGGTCATCTAAGGCGACTGGGACTCCGTGACGGACCGCTCCGAGCTCAAATGCAGAAGGCGGTGCTCCTCGATACCGCCCGCATCGTCCGCCTTATTCTTTCCCTTTCCTTCTAACCCTCGGCAGTCCATCTGGTTGGGCTTTTATTTATTTATGTATTTTTGTATTTATTTTATTTTAATTATATTTATGTATATTTATCTTTACATTTTTATTTATAATTATATATTTATAGAACCCAACCAGATGAGAAAACTATATAGATACCCCACATAATAATATAATTTATTTAGTTCCAAACATACACACAAATTAACATAACATAATTATTTAATGGAATGAACTAAAAAGGTGTCTACTCACCAGAAATGTTATAGAAACCATATTGTGGTAACTACAACTTCTGATTTTCAGTAAGTGCCAGAGATATATGTGGAATAGAAAAAACTAAAATGAAAATCCTCCAGAAAGCCCTCGCCACTCGACACTATATGGCGCTAATGGGAAAGTTCTAGAAAAATCTTGACGCTGCTATTTCTGCTACTTGATACTAAATGGCGCTAATAATCACCCGCCATATACCGGACCATAATTATGGCGCGCAACAATGTTTAAAAGGTACCTAAGTGTGATATGCTGACTTGCAGATGATTGGTAATTGATTATAAAGTGGACGCATTCTACAAATAAACAAAATAAAATTGAGTTTTCACTTGACCTCTGAGGACTAAGATGAAATGCCTTGCTTCTTGTAAAATGGGCCTTTGATTGTCTACGCTTAACATACAAAACACATTATACTGCTTTTATTATAAGATAAGGGTAACAAACGAGCATACAATGCTCCTGATGGTAAGTGGTTGCTGTGGCCGTACATCCATTCTCGATTACAAATCAAAATGCAGATGCGTTGTCCCCGTACCCGTAAATACTAAGATAGAATGCCTGATTTCCAGTAAAATGGGTCTCTGGTTCTCTATACTCACCATACGAAACACAGCAGCGTTAAGCTGCTATTTTACGCTGGTATTCTGTGAGAACGTGGTCCTTACCCGGTCGAATCGACCCATTCGTACTCGTACTAATATACTACTAATATAGCTGTACCTTGGCTCTACAATATAAATTGCTATTCTAAGAATGATATTGCTGTTTCCTGGTGGAACTGACACATTCATACTCCAGTCATGATACAAGTGCAGCGTTACTCTTTCATGTATAAATAATATCACGTTTCAATAAACTACAACATACCATTCCATCTAAAAAAAGTCTGCTGAACATAGACCTCTGCCATGGATCATGCCTTATAGGAACATTTCTGCCGTAATTGCCACGCTTGGCAGGCAGATTGGCAACGGCAGATTTTTCGGCAGACGCTGCTTCCTATATCCTGCTTCAGATTCCTTCTGTCGCTTCCTACTACACCCACGGGATGATATAGGGTAGCGGATACACCGCTACTGCACGGAAAAAAACTACAGTCATAACTAGATATATATGTGTAACGGCGCCAAAAATACTTCGATTTTGCTGTCAAACCTTAAACTGAAGCTTTGTTGTATAAGGCTAACCGGCTAGATGAACACTAGTATCAACGTTATCCCGCTCCAATCCTTTTCTTAAGAGAAACGGATTTTGAGGTTTTGAGTAAGTAACATAAAAGCAGGAAATTTGGATTTTCTTTAATTCTGAAAAACATTCTATTTAAAAGGTTTACTTTTGCATTTTATTCATTGTCGGATATCCGCATTGTTTCCTTTGACGGTGTAGTGGCGATGCGTAGGAATACCCACTCCATATCTTCCGTGGGTGTTTTAAGAGATGGCGGAGGGAAATAAAGCCAGAAGATAGACAGCAACGTCTTCTTGATAACAACTCTAAACTGCAATAATTTACGTTTTTCAAACCATCTATAAAGCGTGACAACCGTAGTAAAATTCCCTTTATGAGACAACCTATGGTGGAGGGAGGAGGGTTCCATGTTCAACAACGACCTTTTCGAAGCTGTAATGGATGATGGACGGATTGTTCCTTGGCCCTCGTCTCGGTAGCGTGGTATCGTGGCTATGCAGATGTGCGCACTCTGTAGCTCTTCGAACCGCTTATTGTACCTACTGTATGTAATGCAATAAAATTACACGTAAATTCAGCAAACTACGAGTATCTCTGACTGATTATACCACACGTTTTTTGTTCATAATAAAAGTAACAATGGGTGAAAAAGTCTATAGATACAAATTTAATATTAATTTTTTTTTTTGTAAATTACTGTATTGCGCATTGTTTTATAGGAGTAGGGTGACAAACGAGCACACAGTCTATCTGATGGTAAGTGGTTGCTGTGGCCCATAGACATCTACAAAATGCAAATTGCGTTGTCTCCCGTGAGTACTAAGATGCTTCCTTTACAGTAAAAAGAGTCTCCGGTTCTCTATACTCACCATACGAAACACAGCACGCTCTCACAGTATACTATTTTAGGCTGGTATTCTGTGAGAGCGTGGACCTTCCCCGGTCGGGCCGACCCATTCGTGCTACAACTATACTACTAATATAGATGTAGTATGGTTCTACCGCGTAAATATAACATAACAGAGATAGTATTTTACGATTTGTTTAGCCGATGAATCATATCGTACCTTGTAATCAAATAAATGCGCCTTACAATGGGTGCGTTTGGCAGAAAAAAGCGCTAGCAAGCGCTTGTAAGCAAAATGGCGATCGTAAGCGGTAAGCGCTGTCAAATCGTAAGTAGCTATTTTCCTCTAGGACACGATGTTAGTTTTAACCGGGGAACCTAACCTAATTTAAATATATGTTTGTAAAGTATTCATATTAAAAACTTACTAATCATCAATTTTTAATAACATGTATATTATGTTTATTCATGTCATTACATTACTTAAAACTAATATTGCACAAAACAACT